ACTTTAGAGTATCACTCACTATCTCTGCAAAGAGAATGTTGTTGTTTTTTAAGTGTTTACATTGCTGCCTAGTAACACATTTAGGAGCACTCAGACAGCGACTAGATGTGCTTCCTATCACAGTGTACAGCACCTATGTAACTGTGCATGTGCAATAGCCTCCCATTGCCTTCTTATGGGAGAGCATTGCATAGGCTGAGATCATCAAGATTATTGATCTTGGTGAGTTTAAACACCTTTTTACTGCAATCTAAGTGGAGCTATGGTCCTAAATAGTTAGTTTAACACTATAGTGTTAGTTTAATATGCTAGTTGACCACGTTAGTGTTCCTTTAATATGCATGGTAAATGCAGCGGGAGAATATGTTAAATCATGTGGAATATTTGAGAACTTTTCTTAACCCCTTAAGGACACATGACGTGTGACGTCATGATTCCCTTTTATTCCAGAAGTTTGGTCCTTAAGGGGTTAAAGTGGAAATGTTTTAAAAAAATTTATCTTGGGAAAAAAAATCCTCATATGAATGGTGTTGCTTTATTTAGGAACAGAAAGTGGAGTTGTAAAATTAAACAGTCTCATTTTTTTCCCCTTCAACCTGGATAAATGTATTATTTCTCTGTATTATTTGAAACTTATACATAACACATATTCTTACTGACTAAGTTATGATTAGATTGATTTGTTTGAAAAGCACGATCACAAATGGTGAGAACATGTGCACGTTGATTGGTAGCGACATTTGTAAAACAAAAGTCAGGAATGTAATAGCTTCCAACCTAGTGGTACTATAACATATTTCTACACTTCCATGTAGTTTATTGCACCATCCATGACTGTTTAAATCATATTATACAGTCATCTAGAAAGCCCTAAATACTCAATAGTATCTTATCTCCCATTGTATAAATAAGGAGTATCTGTTTCTACTTATCTGTATCTAAAAGCCAAACATATATGCGCCTATCTCCCTTACTGTTTCTTTTTCTAGGACCATTGCAGCTGGCCTATCCCAGACCATCGTTTAAGACCAATGTAAAAGGACAAACGTGATGGACATGAGTCTTTTTCCATTATCTATTTTATGTAACTATGCTTTATACTGATCAGAAAATGTCAAGAAGCTGTTTTTTTCCTTCTATACTGTGTGTTCTTTTTCTTTATTCAACCGTTATAATGGATAACCCAGTCCAGACTTTTGGAGCCCCCTGTCTTGAGGATTCAAGGGTCCTACTATTGTTTTATTCCATGACCTAAGAAAAACAGAAAAGCAAGGAACCCCTAAAAAAGGGGGACCTGCCAAAGTATGTGTCTGGGGCAACCAGAAAAGGGGGGTAACCCTCACATATACTTGTGTAGAAAAGACCAAAGAAGAGAGACCCACAGGGTCAGAGTTAGGAAGCCCCTAAGTAAAGTTATATGTATATAAAACGTAACTTTTAATAGTAATTGTTAAAAAACATCCACATTGTTAAAAAATGGTCTGAAAAGATAGGGAGACCAGAGAAAAACTAAATACAGATTACTAGGTGAGGGCAAAATATCTAATTCTAAGGCCACATGAGTGGATCTCATGTAAAGTGAAAAAAAGCCCTTCCCTTACTGTACTCTTCCTTTGTGCTGCTAGATGTAATATAAACTACTGGCTCTGTGGAAAGCGCTGACTAAAATCAATGCTGGGGTATGGCAACAAAGTGATACATATAGACAATCTAACAGGGGATAAAATATGTCAGTATATCAAGGTAGAGAAAATACATAGTATCCCCTGGTGTGAAATCACAGGGTGGAAGGCAGAGAACATCCCCCTCCCCACACAGGGGATCTTGCAGCTACCAATAAAAAATTAGATTCCCACCAACCCCCTTGGGTAACCCAGATAGTCAGCCCAGTAGGAAAGCTTGAAAAAGCCCTAGCCAAACATCCACGCAGCAAATGAACTCTCCCTAGATCTATCTATAGCGAGAGATACAAATATGGGAAGAGATTGAGTCGCTGGTCTCACTGCCTAACACGTGTTTCGGCACTATAAAACGCGCCTTCTTCCGAGGCTTAGCAAACCCCAAACTGTACAGGAGGCTGTTTAAATAGCCGTATGCCGCCAGTAGAGAAAAAGGGGGGGTGTGCTTACTGTTCGGGCTTAGTTTTTTGGCGCGAACAGTAAGGGAAGGGCTTTTTTTTCACTTTACATGAGATCCACTCATGTTGCCTTAGAATTAGATATTTTGCCCTCACCTAGTAATCTGTATTTCGTTTTTCTCTGGTCTCCCTATCTTTTCAGACCATTTTTTAACAATGTGGATGTTTTTTTAACAATTATTATTAAAAGTTACGTTTTATATACATATAACTTTACTTAGGGGCTTCCTAACTCTGACCCTGTGGGTCTCTCTTCTTTGGTCTTTATTTCATGACCTGCCAAGACCATAAATAGGGTCAGGTTTTGCAACTATTGTGTTCTGGCTGCTCCGTACATTACATCTTCTATATAGGAAAGCCCCCTACAGGACTAAAAGACAGATGGTGGCCAGAAGGCCAAAGAATCCCCTCTCCCACCAAACCAATCGTCTTTAGGAAAAAACTTGAGCCAGGTTCCACTGCACCATTTTCAGTATCAGTGAATCACACACAAAAAAACTAAACACAAAAAAGAGTATGTAAGACTGTGCTGTGAAGTGGTCTTGGTGTAGTGTCCCAGTCTCACTTAGTCCTGAAATGTAAAACATTGCAGTTTTCGAGAAATTACAAGACAGCCACTAAAGGCGCTACCTGGATTTTCACAGTGTTTGGCTCTGTGAAACGACGCTGGATGATGTCATGTGCTGCATCACTGAAAATCCCATAGGAATCAATGCTTTTTGATGGGAAAGGTCTAATGCGCGTGCGGCACTCACTGCGCATATGCATTAGGTCCCCCTATCAGTTGACTTCAGAAAATGAGCGTGAATTGGCACTGGAATTGAGTAAATGAATAAAGGGTACCAGTAAATTAATCCTTTATGAGCCACAGTGGGGTTTTGCAAAGAGAGGGGTCACAGGGCACCAGGGCCGCCACCAGAAATTTTGGGGCCCCTAACTGAGCTCAGGGTCTGGGCCCCTGGGGGCCCACCTCCAAAACCGCCCACAGAGACCGTCTCCAAATCCCACCCACAGAAATACACACACGGACACAAACGCATTCACTGATAAAAAAGGACACAGATACACACACACACATACACTGATACATACTAACAGACACACATACTGATACGCATATAGGCTTACATACTGACACACACATACTGAGACATATACACATATACAGACACACAGACATACATAGTGACAGACACATACTAACATACATACTGACACACATACTGATACGCACATAGGCATACATACTGACACACACATACTGAAACGTACACACATATACAGACACACAGGCATACATAGTGACAGACACATACTAACATACATACAGACACACATGCATAAGGACATACAGACACATTCATAATGACATACAGACAGACATTCATACTGGCATACACACATTCATACAGACAGACATACACACATTCATAAAGACATGCAGACATACATACACTGACATTCATACACGCATACAGACTTGCATATAGGCATACAGACATGCATACAGACATACATTCATACTGGCATACATACAGACATACATACACTGACATTCATACACACATAACATGCATACAGACATACAGACATGCATACAGACAGACAGACATCCATACATAATGACATACATATATACACACAGACATAGACATACATACATACAGACATACATACAGACATACATATACACACACAGCTCATTTTCCAGCCACCCTCCTCTCTCTTACCCTGTCTCTGCAGGAGGGTGGCTGGGGCTGATGGTACTGGGAGTCAGCTGGCTCTCCCTCTTCATTGCCGGGCGCGCGCTCCTCCCGCGTGGAGTGAGCTGGGAGGAAGTGACCACTTCCTCCCAGCAGCACTTGCGCTGCGGCAGCATTTTTTTTTTAAAGGGGCCCGGTTGCGCTATACCATGGCCACAGCGCTGACCGGGCCCCTGAAGATATGGGACCCATTGGGTTGCCCTAAGTGCGTGGGCCATCCGATGGGCCCCATCAGCATGCGGGCCCTGGTGGAACTGCACCGGCGGCAGTTCCGCCGCTACACGTGGGGCCCGGGCGGCCGGGCCCCCGGGCCCATGACAACTGTTATGGTTGTCACACCCTGATGGCGGCTCTGCAGGGCACTATAGTGTTAGGAATACAACTTTCCTTTATTGTAGCAACAGGATCTTATTTATGTGTGAGTAGACCTTCCATGTGTCCTGAGGCTCTTTGGAAGTTTAGAACATTCCCCAGCTGTCTGGCACTAAACGTGATGCAGTTTTGGAATTCTCTCTGAGATGATTACCTTTAGCATTACAAAAGTTGCGGTGAGACTGAAAAGTGACAGAAACTCCCCGCAGATTAATTTAATTTAAAAAAATCTGCAATAAGCAAAAAATAAAATAAAAATTGATCAGTGGTCAGTTTGTCATATGCAACGACAAAATGAAAACGCCCTCTTATACTGGTACATTTATTCAATGCTACTTAAAAGCATAGTGATGAACATTTTAGCAGTCAGAAACATACTGGATCACTGGAAATTTTTAACACAAGCTGTGAACTTGTCTCTGTCCTTTAATAGTCATTGATATCTGGCAAAAGTTATTTTACTGGTATGTTTCAATTTTATTGACTGATCTTTTGCATCATTAAGCACAAGACCTGCTTTCATCATATATCAGGTGGGTATAGCGAGGAGGAAACCTATGCTTGCAGTCGGATTGGCTGCTGAAAAGAGGCAGTGGCTGCAGCAGCCAATGAGATGCTATTCCACAGCTTCTATTGGAATGAGATTTCAGTGTTCTTTTATGTAACAGGTTACTTGAGTTCATGATATTAACATAGTGGAGCTGGATCTGCACACACTCTCTGTCTCACTGGAAACGCTTGCAGTGTGGCTTCAACCCTTACTGAAATCTGCTTATTTGTATGTAAATGTAATGCAAATTGCTGGATATACATATTTACCACTACAACTGATTTTAAGTAGGTGATTACAAAATAGCTAATTTAAAGATACTGACACACCTATTCTGTGGTTTATCTTTGGATTTGTTTAATTAGCTGTTTTTCTTGAACGCTTAGTTTTTATAAATGTTTTGAGAATAATATTTATCAAATATAAACTAATTTTATCCAAAGCTAAAACTGTGTACTGATAAAGTGCAACAGTGAGTAAAGTGTATTTATAAAAGGCTGCCAATTAGCTTGAATTGCCTCTCTCAATTAAATATATAGTGCAAACAGTTAAAAAAAAATAGGGCGTGTCTGGTGCAAATTGTGTGCAAAATACGAATAAATGTGAAATAAATCACCATAAATCAGTGTCAGTGCATCAAGACAGGTATTTGAGTACCTTAAAGGGATACTATAGTGCCAGGAATACAAAGCTGTATTCCTGGCACTATCGCTCCCCCTGCCTACCCTTCCCTCGCACTCCTCCGTCCCCAGCGAATAAAGGGTTAAAAAACTTTTATTTATTCACTGTGTCCCTCGGCACTGGGTTGACGGACCACCCTCTCCGAAGGCCCGTGACAAACAGGCACTGACGCGCACGCACTAGACCTCCCCCCCCCCCTATAGGAATCCCCCCAATGCTTTCCTGTGGGGAAAATTCAACGCTGGAGGTCCTCATGCAGTGAGTACTGGACCAAAGATACTTTTTCAATCCAGGAGACAGCGACTAAAGGCAGACTTAGAGCTGCAATGTAAAGATGGCATATTCACTGGAACTGCAGTGTTTTACATTGCAGCACTAAGTGCAAAAAGGACACAGCACCCAGACCACTTCAATGAACTGAAGTGGTCTGGGTGCCTATAGGGTCCCTTTAAGATTCAGCATTTGAAACAAAGAGAGAGAGAAAATATATGTGCAAATGTAGTATAGTATTTAATAATAAACAACAAAATGTCTGTACAATTGACAGACAAAAGAAAAGCACAACCAAAAGTGTGTTAATAGTGCATTGTCCCAGTGGACACTTATCTCCAATCAGTCAAACCAGCCACTGAGAAGAGATAAGGACTGATTGGAGGTAAGTGGCCTTGGGGCAAAGTGCTATTAGCACACTTTTGGTTGTGCTTTTCTTTTGTGAGTGTCTGTCCATTGTGTATATACATGTAATAGTTCGTTATTATTATTATCATTATTAATATATTTATATAGCGCCAACAAATTCTGTAGTGCTTTACAATGGGTGGACTAACAAACATGTAATTGTAACCAGACAAGTTTGACACACAGAAACAGAGGGGTTGAGGGCCCTGCTCAATGAGCTTACCTGCTAGAGGGAGTGGGGTAAAGTGACACAAAAGGTAAGGGAAGTATGAGGGAAGTAGATTGGTAGAACAGTATTCAATGAAGACTTAATGTGGTTTGTTTTTTTGGAGCCATTAACAGTTTAACAGCTTTTGTGAAAAAGTGGGTTTTTAATGTTTTTTTGAAGGAGTGGAGACTAGGTGAGCATCTAACGGAAAAGGGAAGGGAGTTCCACAAGAACGGTGCAGCTCTAGAGAAGTCTTGGATATGAGCATCAGAGGTGGGAGTACGAACAGAAGATAGACGCAGGTCTTCAGTAGAGCGTAAGGGTCTAGGCGGGACATACTTGTGTATTAGGGAGAATAGATAGGTGGGAGTAGCATTATGTAGAGATTTGAAAACAAGAACCAGAATTTTATATTGAGCCCTATATCTTACGGGAAGCCAATGCAGGGACTGACAGAGGGGTGAGGCATGGGAGGTGCGAGCGGACAGGAAGATGAGCCTCGCCGCCGCATTCATTATAGACTGCAATAGGGCAAGTTGTGAGCAAGTAAGACCAGTGAGAAGTGGATTTCAGTAGGCAAGGAGAGAGAGAGAGAGGACAGTGGCACGGACCAGCACCTAAGCTGCATCTGGCGTTAAATAGGGGCGGATGCGCGCAATGTTTTTGAGATGGAAGCGACAGGACTTGGCGATAGACTGGACATGAGGGGTAAAGGAGAGATCGGAGTCAAAGAGAACACCTAGACAACTAGCCTGCATGGTGGAGCTGATGGTAGCACCATTGACGTGGAGGGAGACAGAAACAGGAGTAGCAACACTTGAGGGAGGAAAGACCAGAAGTTCTGTTTTGGACAAGTTGAGTTTAAGGAAGTGGGTAGCCATCCAGTTAGAAATAGCAGAGAGGCAGTCAGACACTAGTTAAGAGGAGCAGGGAGAGATCAGGGGAGGACAGATAGATTTGCGTGTCATCTGGATAGAAGTGATATTGGAAGCAAAAGGACCTGATGAGTTTACCAAGGGAGGCAGTATAGATCGAGAACAGTAGGGGATCAGGGACTGAACCTTGAGGGACACAAACAGAGAGGTTGTGAGGAAGAGGCAAAGCCAGAGAAAGAAAGGCTAGAATGGCACTGGATGAGGTAGGAAGAGCACCAGGAGAGACCAATATCTCGTAGACCGAGATTACGGAGGATGAGAAGAAGCTGTTGATGATCAACAGTATCAAAAGCAGCGTAACGGTCAAGGAGAATTAGGATAGAGTAGTGACCATAAGATTTTGCAGCAAGTAGATCGTTTGATACTTTGGTCAGAGCCGTTTCCACAGAGTGCTGAACGCGGAAACCAGACTGAAGTGGGTAGAGCAAAGAATTGGACTCAAGAAAGTCTGTCAATCTCACATACCAAGTCTTTCAAGGATCTTAAATAAAACAATATTTACGTATATTTATATCTCTCTTTGTTTGATACGACTATTTGCTTAACCTGAACATAATCAAATTCTTTTATTGATGCACTGACACTAAGATTTGCAACAGAGACACCTTGTTTTGGATCTGTTTACACTAATTTTATGCCAAATTGCTGAAATTAACTCAAAATATTGACGGAATTATATGTGGCAACATCATTGCAGTTTTTGACCTATCGGTGGGAAGGAATAATACTTATCACCATATTCATCATGATATTTAATTAATTAATTTTACAGTCCCAGTAAATTTAGATGTTTACTAATGAAGCAGAATGTAAAGCCATGTTATAAAATTTTTGGCAAAAAAAATTGTTGATTTGGAAAAAATGTCCAACTCAACTACGGGCAGGGTTTTCAATTTACTAAAATGGAGTTTGCAGTGATATAAACCTAACTAGTTTGAATGATGCTTATTTTCCACACACCAGTGACCCCCAATTTTTCTGCAGTAGAAATTTTTTGTTTCCATTTCTTCCACTGATGGTTGGACATACTGACAATCCTACATGCTCACCTTTCTGTTTTACTCATCCTGAATTGTTCTCCTACCTCCTTTTTTTTTTGGTCTAGCTAAACCACATTCACTATTATTCCTCCTCTGCCAAACCACAGGAAATGCATGAAGCCTTCTCCTGACTAGATGGACAAATGTTATTCATCATTCCTGAGAACATGCTACTACTGGTATAGAGTCCACTGTTAGAGATTTTCACATCACTTAAGCCAATATTTGACGTTGCACATGCTACTCATAGGTATGTTCGCAGCAGCTCAGCCATGGAAACCTGCTTCATAGATTTATCGAGAAACATTTCTTGTGCTGATGTTGTTACAAGAGGCAATTTAGAACTAGGTAGTTGAAGTGTTGCAACTAAGGACTTAGGTGCCATAGATAATAGAGAGGTAGGCTGTGCAGCAGTACATACATGTTCCTCTCATTACAGGGACTGCAAGGTTACTGAGATGGAGACCTTATCCATCATTTAGATCAGGGCTGTCAGAAAAGGTAGACCTCCCAGATGTTGTAGAACTATCATGATGCCTTGAAATGCCTTTAGAATGACAAAGCATCATGGAAGCTGTAGTTTTAAAAAGATCTGGGGATCTACCTTTTGGGCAACCCTGATTTTGATGGTATTTTACAAACATTTGTGTTTTATATATTCTGTGCATATAAGCAACATTTATTGATCATTACTTTATCACACAGTAAAATCATAGGAGCTTGTGATATAACTGACGGATCAAAATACCTCAAAATTTAGATATTTCTGGATTTAGGAGCAATGTACTTAGGAACCTTCTCCAACCTGGAAAAAAAACGCAATATCTTTCCAACAGTTGTCCATGGCTATATCAGATTTCCTGAAGCAACTATTGGACTGCCATAATTTGGCAAGCTAAAAGCAAGGCTCTCTACTTGGGTCCAAGAAGGAAAATGAAATCTGACCCTACAGTGAGGGTGATTAAGCTTCAAAGTCCAAAGATATCAGATTGGTTTAACAATGCGTGGAATGTGACCTCAGGTAAGCTCTGTGCATAGATAGAGCAATGTAGAAAGTGATATCAGAGGCTAATTGGGGTTTATTCACTAAACAGCAAATTGTAAAAAATTGAAAGCTGAATTCTAAAATTAAGTTAAATAAAAATAGCTGATTGTACGCAAACCTAAATGTTTTGCATTAATATTTGTCTGTCACTCATTAAAAATGCATTTAAAAATTTTAAAATTAAAAATAGCTGATTTGGGAAAAAGTCATCCAACTCATTTGTAGTCACACTACAACAATTTTAGCCTATGTTTGTAATTGGGGTTTCAATAAACCCTAATATTTGACACTTACCCATTTTATACAGTATGGATTTTGAGATCCATAAGCCTTTATGAATTTCCATCAATGTTATCTTTTACTCGGTAGAACAAATGCAAACTTCTATCAGCACACCTGAGACCACAGTGATACAGGGGAACCTGTGCAACCTGATTTAGATCCTTGTGCACCCATGGCAAAGCATACATTAGCTCAGTTGCTCAAACCCCTTCTTCCATGCTGTCATCCCAGTGCATTGATAATGCATTACAAAATATGCAAAAAATATTAATTAAATGGTTCCTCTAACCAAAATACAGTGTTTTAGGAAAATACTGTTTCTGGTCAGAGTAATCCTATACTGCCTCCCCATCCCCGCAAAAGAAAAGAATATAGCTAAAACTCACCTCCGTTCCAGTGATTAGGCCATTTCCTTCTCCTTGGCTGGTTTCACACCCCATCACCATAGGGGGACAGATGTCAAAGAATGTAAGCTGAAGGGGAGACCATGCCACCATTGGCTGTCTGGCTCCAGCATGCCATGCATGCTGGTGTCAGATATAAAATTTGCACAAAATTCACATCAGCCACCCGGAACTCTTACCCCAGGCTGGCTAATGATTCCCTTAATGATGTGGCCTTAGGTGGAGTTGCACCTCCGGTAGCTGAGGGGCTCTATACGTGTAGTGTTTTGTAGTGAACTCGTATCAAAACAAACCAGGAAGTATCTCAGCCAATCTTAATGCACCGAATGTTTTTAGTGTGTTACATATCTTTTAAATCTCTGCCCAACAGATGTTTTTGACTTGTACTGCAACACTTGGAAGTAGTTCCGTTCATTAAATAAAATGAATGGAACATTTGCTTAAAGGGACACTCTGGGTACCAATAAAACTTTAATTTATTTGACAGGTTTAGCTGTATTTGTGCATGCTGAAATCTTTCCTTTTTGCTCAGAAAAAAATGAAATGATTTCCAGAATGCTCTATCATAAGGATACCTTAGCGTCCAGAAAAGTACTTTGTCTCTGTAAATCAGTTGACTGGGTTGGAATTTCAGTGAAAAAACTAAAAACGAAGTCAGTTCTGCCTTTATGAAATAGTCATTTTTCAGGGGGAGTGAATGTGCAGCTTTAAACACAATGATCTCATTGCTGTTGGGGGTTTAATTGTGTATATATACTAAAAAAAAGTATTTCTTGTCATGAGCTGAGTCTATGAGGTCTATGAAAAACTAAACCGACATAATGCACACAAAAATAGCCTATTTTTAATGAGGATGAAATCAAATGCATTAAGGTTGTATTGATGCCCAGACTGTCCCTTTAAGTTAATGGCAGGCCTCCACTCGACCCTCAGGTGCCACAATGTAAGTAGACACCTCACATATGGGGAGTCTGCACACTATATTTGAAAGGTGTATTTTAATGCTAGTCTGATTGCACCTGGAGGCTAATTCATTAACATAAGTGCTTTGCTTTACACCCATTTTGAATCTCTGACAGAAAAAGGGCATTCACTGACTAGCTCTAATGAATAGCTCTGCAGGAATTGACTGTGAATGCAGGGCTGGGCCCATAGTGTGATAGATAGCCTGTGGAGTATTAAAATGTCTGCTGGTTGCCCAGACCCTCCCATTCAATCCTTTCTCTCTCTGAATGACTCATAGTTAAAGTTCAGGTTACTATATAGAACGTTGGAGGAACGCGCGTGGAACCTTAGAACGCCTCGCCCATTCCATTCTGTAGTAACTCCTCCCCCTGGCTGTGTAAAGTGAGAGCGCCTTGCCGAAAGCCGGTTCATTACTCGAGAAGCCGGTTAGAAGGAGCAGCTCTGTTCATACCGTTACCATGGCAGCTCATTGCGGGAGAAATGCATCATCTGCCCTTCTCCGGGCTCTAGTAGAAGCCGAGAGCCGGCCTGCCCGGGCAGTACTAGGGAGAATGAAGAATCAGCACCAAGCAATCCGGTAAGGAGAATAATATTAATCATACATATTTTTTTTATTTTTTTTTATTCTACTGGAAACCCTGTCTCTGGCCAAATCCTGGCTTTGTTCTTTCATCTCAGATCAGGATTATCAGAATGTTTGGTTATTTTCATTAATTAGCAGGCAAACTCGAAATTGTATTTATTTAAAAAAGAGGTTTTTTTTTTTTTTTTTTCTTTTTCTTTTTCCAACACTTGGCTATTTTAGCTTAAAACTTTGAATTTCAGTTTGAATCCCAGACAATTCATAGGTGGTCTTTGGTTAGATCTCAGAATGTTGGTAAAATACCCTGATGGGTATTAAAAGGGGGTAAACCCCCCTCCCCCCCAAAACTATGCCTTCCAATATGAATTTTCTTGCTGATGTCCTGTAGACTTTTTGCTACTAGAGGGATCCGAGCTACTCAAGGTGGTTTTTCTAGGATTCCTTTTAAATTGATTAAATGCCTGTTTGACTCGTGCATACTATCCGCATGTGATGGTGACATGTGACGGTCAATTGGCTCTCCATTAAGTGAGATAGGGTTGTTTAATCTCTTCTAGACCTTGATCCTTATAAACCATATTTGTAAAGGAGCTGTGGATTCTCTTCAAATAAGCTTTACTTGTTAAATTCGTTAATAGTGTTCGATTATCAGTTAGCCCTACAAAGGCGTTATTTAAAAACGCTCTTAGAGTGAAACCACTTTATGGGAGGGGAAGGAAGGCTACATAATGGGTTCCTGGAAATGAGAAACCTCCCGGCTTTAAAAAAAAAAGCAAAACTCGTGATATCTAAGAGGCCCAGTCTGGGAGAAATTTAAACAAACCTTTATTCTTTGTACTATCAAGGCCAGCTCCTTTTATCTACACCAGAAATGTCTTATTGGCCAGAGTATATGATTTTGTTGTAGTCCGTATATGTGCAGTAATTGGTATTAGATTGTCTGTCTGGCATGTAATTAATTGTAAAAGTACCACTTTAGTTTTTCGATATTGCTAGTGCACAGATATTGTGAAAATTGGTTAATAACAAATGCAAAAAATAGCATGTGAAATAACTACAATTGTTTGTATTTCCTGTGTTCGTACCTCCAAGACACATGGCATGTGCCATGGAATGTGTTGGCGCTATAAAATTGCTTTTAATAATATTAAACTTGATTTTTAAATAGGGTAGTTGTAATTTTTTTTTTTTTTACTTTAAGTTATGAAATACCCAGTTTAAGAATAATCTGTCCCCTTCCACCATTTAAAATGTATTTATGCCACCCTGTGAGTTATTGCATGAAACCTAATTATTGGGCAGAAGTCTCAATTGTCATGAAAAACAATAAGACTGTTCTTGTTAAGTCGACATTTGAATCGAATGCAAGGATGTTCTGTCACACTCTTAATAGTTAGGATGGCACTGTCACTGATCACCTAGAGGTGTGGTTGGAGGTAGGTGGGCTGTAAGTTGCCTCTAATGCACAGCTTTTCATAAGAAATCCTTGAAAAAATGTTAACTGTGAGGCAAAACACATTGTCCCTTTTTAAAGTACAAAGTGACACGAGGTGAGGGTAAAATACACAATGTGCTTCTTTCCTCAGTGTTCCATTCTGGCTGTGCTGACAAATATTTTTTTTTTTTTTTTTTTTTTAAATCGGGATATTCCAAAACTCTGTACTGTAGTTCTGTTCACGCATCCGGGCAGATACCCAAATGTGTGGTGTGTGTTTTTTTTTTTATTTTATTTTTTTTTATAAATAATCCAGGAAGTCTGAAAACAATGCCTTTTTGGGTTGGAAACATGGTCATGAAATGGTGACTCATACTTTGAGAACATTGTTAGAACATTGTCTTCTGGGAAATGCCTCCTCAAATACTTCCTCTTTTTAGCAGCTTTGTAGTATTAACTCCTTGCGTGCCTATATTTCATGCCAAGTGAGAGTTTGATGTGCATGCCTTGTCCTGTAGGTTTTTATTACCATCACAAACTAAATGTAACAGATTACTACTAATTACTGATTTTGGAGTTGGTAGCAAGGGCTGTGACGGTGGGTAACAACATTGTGTATGGTAGAACTGGTTTGTATTAACCAGAAAAAAAATCCAATAAGGCAGAAAGAAATCTTAATGTTGATTGCAGCAGGGCAATTACTGTAAACTAGTCTATCCAGAGCAGAAGGTGTGACGTACTGTAGTTTGTCAACCTGTAATTGTGGTTGGTCAATTCTCATTGTATGCAGGAAATGGGCCCCATCAGAAGGCGCATAATGAGTTTGAAATGCCTATGTGTTGTGCAAGATAAAAGGTATTGTCATCTGCAAAACATCTGGATGAGACTCTTCTAAAGTAGTGCACTGATTAAAATCTATCCACTTCAGGGACAATGGCATGTCAGGCTTTCAAGGTGACACGGTATCGGTCAAACACTGTCCTCCATGAGATGTAGTTACCTGAAGGTCACATATCTCTCCAGTATTTACAGTTGCAATCTATTTGAGTGGCTGCACATATCAATTTATTGCAGATATCTCTGCGTTTCCCTCTCCTGTGCTGAGAAGCATGGCTACTAAATTGTATAAAGTTGGAACAATTTGTACAGAAATTGTGACTGGATTTTTCTGCATCTTTGTAGATGATGCAAAGTGTATAAGAATGTGAAATATTACTAGAATGGTATTTACACTGCTCTGTTCTAATAATTTTGTCACTTGTCTTTTTCAGCCATATTAACTCCTGTGGTATTCTGGCCTCGCACTGTACAAAGCTACCTCATCCTTCACATATCCAGATGCAAACGCGGTCATTTTTGAATCTTGCAGCACCATTTATTGGGAACAAGCGCATGGACTACTCAGAATCGAAAGTTTTAGGGTGAGTAACCTGTTGGGATTATGTGTGGATAATTTTTTGCATTCCTACTGATGTGATAGCATTTACTTTGATTCCAAGCTTATAGTGTCATTAGATATCCTATATTAAAATTGGCTAACTTGGACTCAGGAAATGCTTGATACTTAAAACGACTCTTAAGACCATATATGTCTAGTTCCGGGAGCAGATAGCCCCCTCCTGAGCTGTCTCTTCTCAATCAGTCTGTTCTTTCTCTTTCTCAGAACTTATCTTATATCACTGAGAACACAGTAAATAATTTATTTAAATTCATTGAATTATAGTGTACAGTGTACTCAAATAGTAATTGAGGCCATAATAACTCTGGGGACAAAAATTCTGTTGTCAGGCTATTTTAGTCTCAATTTTGTCCTTTTGGATTTCTTGAAATTTAGTGAATTCTTTATTGGTGGTATGCATATAGGTATTGGGGTGGGGGTCGTTGATGTTTGAAATGCAACCAATTCATTGATTGAGCACCCCATAATTAATTTGTTCTGACAAAATTTATTTCATTTCTTCCAGGTATTCCATAGAGCAAATGTTTGATATAGTGGCCAGTGTGGAGAATTACAAGTTCTTTGTACCTTGGTGTAAAAGTTCAAAAGTCCTGTCTACTCACAAAGGAGTTACAAAAGCTGAGCTGGAGGTGGGATTTCCTCCCATTGTGGAGAGATATGTCTCTAAAATCTCTGTAATACCTCAACATCAGATTCGGGTGAGTGTCCATTGAATCTGGAGAGTAATTGTGAATTGTAATGTTCTTGCAATTTGATCTTTTAGTTTGTTGGGTTTTTTTTTTTTTCAAATTGCTGTTAATCAGACAACCGGTCTTGTTTCATCCTGGTATAGAGCTAAACTCAAGAGACAGCAATTGCCCATTGCACCTGCCTTGCAAAGACCTCTCATTGTGCTGCATTGGAAAGTCTTTGATTGGACAGCCACAAAGTCTGGGCTGGGGAAGAAGAGGATGGCTTGCAAAGAGGCAGACCAGAGACTTGTAACTTTTGCAATCTGTTCTTGGATATTCCCCCTCCCCCAATGAAGACACTTTCAACAGATTTTCATTGGGGGTATATCTACCATATGGTTTTTATTTGGGCAGTGGAGTGTCTCTTTCAAAATCTTATAAGTAATCTCCAAAGAGACAGTGGTATTAGTTCCATTGTGGATCTGCAGTCTTGCAGTTATAACTGCTACATGAGGATTTTTTGCCAAGTTCTCCTGCATTTATCTGTAAATATTACCTTTTTACTAGTTTTAAATGTTAGAAGCACCTTCTTTCATAGTCTAGTTATATTGGCTGGAGTTTATTGGTGTTGACAAAGAATAGAATGAACAACACACACAAGCTACAATGCATTCAGAGTATTTTAGATCATAAATTGTCCTGTTTCTTGGTTATCTATGATCTCTCCATATCCAAAACATTTTCCTAAGTGGAGCTCATGTCAGGGAAAAGACCTGAAGAATATACTTCAAGGTTTCCAGATTAGAGAATATCGAGTGCTTGGGAACTCAACTTACAATGGCAACGTGGGTCTGATTTTTATTTTTTATTTTTTTCGAGCGCTCGATATACGCTAATCTGAAAACCTTGAAGTATATTCGTCAACTTTTAAAAAGTTCCATCAAGCTTAAAGTTAACACCCGTTATATATTCGTCTTTGAAACTTCTGAGCATTAAAATCTGCATTATTGCAAAGGTTATGGTACAGAAAGTACACTGTGTCTTATAATTACAGGACAGAGCACCCCACCCCAAACACACTGTTCTGCAGACACACTGAATTCTCCACTATGGGCCTCCTCTCACAATTGTCTCTTTAGTGAAAAGTCTGTCTTAATATGCAACTTCTTATTCACATTCAATGGTCTGCGTAGTTTAATACACCCCTTTCCCTTTAGTGCAGTGTTTTTGCTAATCATGCACTACATTAGCTTTCTGGAAACCAAAGAGTTAGTACAGGTCTGACCTTGTTTGCCAGAAGATATCTAACACCATGCAAAGTGCAAGTTAAACACGCAGCCCTTGGGGCGGAGACCTGGTGAGTTGGAAGTGGTTTGAGTACACAGACGTATTTAACGTCTGGCTGACGCAAGTAAGAGCTTGTTGCTAACTGGCCTGTTAATTCCGCTCCCTGTTCAGGTACAAAGATCAATTGGTGAACTTTGGGTTTTCTGGATCTCTGCAGCACTGCCATCTGAAAAGGAGTGGTTCATTGTAGGGCACATGACTGCTAATAAAAGGAAATAAAATTCTAAAATGGCACATGGTGAATTTAATATCACAGATCAGTGATTTTGTTGGCAATGGCTCATTCTGCTAATCTGGCCGTAGGCAGCTACCTGCATTAAGTTTTATACTGTGCTGACGTTGCTTGATTCCCTTTTTGATATGGGGGAGGGAGAGTGTATAAGCTGTTTTACTGTTAACCTATATTGATCTGATTAACAACCTGTCAACTACACAATATTGAAGCATGTTTACACACTCAATTTACCGGGTATTTATTTAATCCAATGCAGGCTGTGTGCAATGATGGAAAGCTTTTCAGTCACCTGGAGACGGTGTGGCGGTTTAGCCCAGGCTTGTCTGGACGACCTGACACTTGCACCCTTGATTTTTATGTAAGTATCTGTTTTAATGTTTCACAATCACCATTTTGTTCTATTGGTTCTTCTGTAGGCTTGGTACTCCATAATCTATCGTTTGCGCAGTGGTTCCCAAACAGTCCTCATGGCCCACCAACAGTCCTGGATTTATAAATGTCCTCTTTATTGTTCCAATGGAGCTGCTGACAAAACCTGGACTGGTTTGGGAACCACTGATCTAGGGGTACAGAGGGGCAGTTGGTTTAAACACAGCTGGGCTCTCTTTTGGTGACCCATAGGTTTGAGAACTGACCTACTTGGCATATTTTAAGTAGATAAAGAATGCGTATGTTCCGAGGCAGTGGTAATTGTTTGTTGGGCTTTCTTTTCAGAAGAAAGTGTTGCTCCAAATAGGTTAAATTATTTTTTTTAAATCTAAACTTTGATATTTCTCTGCCAGCCTTAATTCTGTGATTGCTAGTTGCGACTCGGGGGGGGGGGTGGTTAGTCCTCTAGCATAATTAGAAACTTTCTAAACCTCTGCTTTATTATCCCTTGTAAACCTTTTTTTTTTTTTTTAATGCTTTTATTTTTCAGGTTTCCTTTGAATTCAAATCCCTTCTCCATTCTCATCTGGCAACAGTCTTTTTTGATGAAGTGGCCAAGCAAATGGTTCTTGCATTTGAGAACCAAGCAGCAAAGACATACGGACGGCAAACCATCCCGTTGCGGGCTGCAAAGCGTCGAGCAGTACAATAACTGCCCTCGGAACTTTAAAATAACTGGTTTTGGGTCCTATGAAACCATTTATAAGTGGCATCGTTCGACCTATACCATCCCATGCGTCTGATGGACTGCCCCAGAGTTTTGCACATTCCACAGATTATTTATGTATATCTGGAACTCAGTGAACTTATTTATAAAATCTTGGATTTTTTTTTTTTTAAATGTCATGTCTCTAATATTGCAGATCATGGTTCAACTGTCGTACAAAACCACTTTATTTTTATGATATTTATTTAAAAATTACCTTTTGAAACACTTTATTTCTAATTTATGTGCATACGTGTTTTAGAAGATACTAATTTTTAGTTAAAAATAAAAACATTCTTTTTTTAAAAGCAGATTGTCATTTCAAGGAGCACTGAAATGTTTGATTAATTTATTTGCCAAACTTGGAGGATACGATTTGCAGGGACCAGGAAGTGTCACACGTTTGAGTTGTTCACCAAAGTGAACTTTGCATTTTAAGATCAAATTGCAGAACTGGAAGGGGGTGGGGGAATCCCTGATCTGTTACGTTTTTCAGTTTTGCTATTTGTCTAAAATTGGAAAGTTCAGTTGAATGAATTTTGGTTCCTGACAATTACAATTTAGAATAAAATGTGAATTTCGCAGCATTGTTAATTGTAGTTAAACAATGTGATTGGTATTCCTAAACCTATGGAGTGGGAATTCCAGGATTTAAAGTACAGTATAGCTTTATAAAAGTGGGGGCGGGGGGAGAGAGATGTGTTGTGGTTAAAATCTTAATGCACTAAACTCTTATAAACTGTCCTAGACTCTTGGCAGGCTAATTGCTATATTGCAGTGTGCGAAGTAATGAATTATACTAAACAGATTTAGTAGACCTGTCCCTGTTGCACTTGCCCTTTTAATGAATCGATCAGGGATAAAAACCACTTCTATTAGTTTTTAATTAGTTTAAAATAAAAGGTTCTATGCTGACAAATCTTTTTAGTACCAGAAAATCTTGTTTTCCTGGCACTATGGCTCGCTATAGTGCCCCCCCTTCCCCCCCCGTGGTACAGAAGGGGTTAAAAACCCCTTTATCACTTACCTAAATCCAGCACTGATGTCCCATGGTGCTGGTTTGGACTAAGCCTACGCTCCTCCTCTGCCGACAACAGCCGGCAGGGGGGCGGGCCTAATGCGCATTCGCAGAGAGTACTGCACTCGCATTAGGACTTGCCTTTTAGGAAAACATTATATAATGCTCTTTATATGGGGTTTTGGGTGACGCTGGATGTCCTCATGCATAGCTTGAGTATGGCCAGTTTCAGTTATTCAACCAAAGGTCTCCACTTGGAAGACAGCCACTAGAGGTGGAATTAACCTTTTACAGGTTGTGACGGACTGACTGCACCCAGACTGTGTACCTCCCGTCAATTGCTGCTTACTAGTATCATAAGCACTGTGCTGGAGCACCATAACCACAGCAAACTCCACGAACCGCCGCAGCTTGTTTGGGGTTTCGCTGTCTCCTACCCACCCTGGACCTACGACAAGGCTCCAGGTTCCCGTGGGTGAACCTCTCTCGTTCCAGAGAGTCAAGCTGGAACAGCTCTTACAAGAGCTTAGTGATTATACTCAGGGGAGTATAGTGATTCTAGAAATCCCCATGGTGTAGTTCTCCAATCCCCTAAACATGAGTCGAAACTTCATCAAGGTGCAAGATGATCTGAGAGTTGGTACAGGTTGGATTTTTATACAACTTTTCAGGCCAGAGGAACCCCCACTGGACCTGATGGGGCACAGGACACAAATTGTACAAATCAATAGAAACAATGTAACAATGTCTGACGCTCCCACATGCAGCACACAACTCCTCCCCCCTCTGCCTGTGATACAATTAAGGTAGATAATGTATTAACGTAATTATCCCCAAGCATAAACATTTTACACAACACCTCTCCTGATAGCCCTGATCTGGGTGAACATCATATCCAAAAATCATCCAGTTCAGAACAGGGGTTCAGGAATTTTCTGGAAGTCCTATTTTGGACCCACCGTGCACATGGTCCCATGCCCAAAACAATTCCAGAGAATTAGGGCTAGCAGTCGGTCCCTCGGTCTGGAGTACAAAAATATATACTTCACATGAACAGAGCCTTTGAAAGTGCATTGGGCAATGCATATTGCAGGGTTCATAGTCTTGAGGCAATAGGCTGGCCAGCAGGCCCCTCCAAGAACCCTTGACGAGGTTCAGTTTGTCACAGGGCCCTAATTACAGGGTAGGAGGCTGGCAAACTGACTCCTCCAAAAGCCAGTGACTAGGTTACTTTCGTCACACAGGTAATTATTGCAATCTATTAAATTGCAATAATTACCACTGCAGGGTTAAGGGACCTGGGACACTGCACCCTGACCACTTCAATTAGCTGAAGTGGTCTGGGTTTCTATAGTGTCCCTTTAAGCAATAATGCAACTAATGCACATGTCTATTATTAAACTGAAATCTTTACCACCTCCTTAATGTATTCCTGGAGGACAATGCCTCCTCTACAGAAGATTAAAACTTTTTTTTTATAGAAAGCTGTAACTAGAACTGAGGCTTTTACACAGGAAAAAAAGCAGACTGCCAAAACCTTAGTGTTCTGGCAAGACGTTAGAAGAGCCTACAGACTGTAACAGCTTGCTGTAATTCTTCCAAGGAATGTTCTGAAATTTGAGTTACGCAAATGCACTTCTAGTCAGGGACATTAAAAGGTCAGGCAGCACAACAGTGGGTTGCAAAAATAATTTGCAGGTTTGAATGATTATGTAGCAAAAGACATAAAAAGCTTCAAGCGGAAGACCCAAGTACTAAAGATAAAATCTAACTTTAGGTTTTCTATTTTGTGAAGAGCTTGCACAAGCTGTGGGGTATATGTATACATTATATAACCACTCTCCGTAGTGTATACCTCAATCCACAGAAGGTTATGTAATCCTGGAGAGTTTAAAGTTTAGAGTGTTTCAATTACTTTTCAATTGTCAAACTATGTGGCTATTACAGTTTATTGTAGTATTTATGGTTTAAGCAGGCTATACCTGTGACTGCTACAAGGGGAGTCCTGTGTCATCCTGCTAAATTCATAAAAATATTCTGGATGGATAATTGGTGAAAGATACAAATTATCATGTCACAAGCTTTCGGAGGGGTGGGTTTTGGATTTTGAAAAATTGGGATTGTTTAAACAAAAATAGAAGATCTGAAAGACAAAATTGAGAAATAAAGTAAACAGAGTGCAGGTCAGGAGTCCGGATACAAGTCAAGGGCTCGTGAGCTGCACCACTGTAACCACCTAATAGGGAGCTCCAATGTGGGGGTAACCCTCCAAAATAAGTAGGAAGTAGGAGTAGGTGATGTATAGAGGGGAAACTAACATCAGGAGAGCTCCACTGTATAAGAAATGAGGAAGGGAGGCCCTACCTTTAATCAATCTAAGGATAAAAAGGGATATGCAAACAAAAAGTATAACTTGAGAAAAAAGGGAGATCTACTAAATTGTGCCCAGGGATTCAATTGTCTAGAGTACTAACTAGCATCTAAGTTGCAGTTCCCCTAGTGTCCGACTGACTAGAAGGTAGTGTAAATGAGGTTAGGGAGAGAGAAAAGGCACAGGTCCCCAGAGAACAAGGGACCAGGTAATCTGGTCTAAACACAGATGAAAAGCCTCACACAATACATAAATAAATCTCTCGATTCACCCGAAGAGATACCTTGACCCCGTGGTCTGACCACTAGTGTCTACCTGAACCAACTCTCCCTACTAAAGTTATAAATAAATAAACTCCTAAAAATCAATATTGGGACATGCACTACAGTGGCCACACTTGTATGTACCCATAGGTAGATTTGTTTGAGGGGTTTATTTAAGGGGGCCAAATAGCTAGGGACTAGCATGTCTTTCAAATTTCTGCTCCTGTGTGCTGTCACTGAGGAGAATGGTGTTAAAAATCTTCTTAATATGGGGATCCGAAGTGAGTATTGGCCAAAATCTTTTAAGCGTATTCATCATGTTGGACCAGCCTGCATCACACGATGCTATGCATCGAATCGTGGAAGGTCCTGTGTCCCTTATGTGATCGCTAAGTAGGGTATCACTGTTGGCATTTATTGCTCTGGCATAAGCCTTTTTTAGAACCCGATTAGTGTAACCTTTTTCCCTAAAGGATTTCCGGAGATCCCAGGCCTTGATTTTAAAGTCATCCAGGGAAGAGCAATTTCTATGTAAGCGCAGATATTGGTTGACAGCGATTTCGGCCTTCAGTTTTGGTGGGTGGTGGCTAGTCCAATTCAGAAGGCTATTAGAGGCTGATTGTTTTTGGTACAGGGTGGTTGAAATGTATCCACTTGTTTGTATGGAAACAGTAAGGTCTAGGAAGTTAAGATTCCTGCCCCCCACTTCGCTTGTGAATTTCAAGTTGAATTCATTAGTGTTTAAGAGAGTTACAAACGTCATGAACTCATCAGAAGATCCCAGCCAAATAACAAAGACATCATCGATGTACCTTTTCCAAAAATACATTTTATCACGATAGATCGATAAAGTCTGGTCCGTTTCAATGTATGTCTCCCAGGTGCCCAAGTATATGTTGGCATAGGATGGTGCATAGGAGGGTGTGCATGAAGTCCCCATGGCAATCCCCTTAACTTGTTGGTATACTTTACCATTAAATAAAAAGACATTCTTGGTCAAGATAAATTTAAGGATATCAGAGAGAAAGTCTATGTATGCTGGTGGGGCATTGTTTTCTGAAGAGTGGATCTAAAGCTCTTAATCCCCAATTTATGGGGGATAGAGCAATATAATGCCTCTACGTCCAGGCTACATAAGATGGCTTCTTCTGGTACCCTTAAGTTCTTTAACCAGTGTAACATTTGTTTTGTATCTCTGATGTATGATGGTAGATTGGATACAATGGGTGACAAGATTTTATCAAGAAAAATACTTGCATTCTGGGTTAGATTATCCCTTCCTGATACAATAGGCCTGCCAGGTGGATTTGTCAAGGATTTATGCACCTTAGGAAGGAAGGCTATAGAAGGTGGACAGTACTGGTGATCTTATGAGCATGAAGTCAAATTCCTCTTTTGTTATGAATTTACTATCCAAGGCCAGAAATAAGAGAGTCTTAATTTCAGTGAAATATTCAGCCGTGGGGTTCCCTGGTAGGATCCGATAGGTGTCTTTATCATTAAGAATAAATTTTACCATTTGGATATAATCCGAACGATACATGGCCACAATATTACCACCTTTGTCAGATGGCAGATGGTTTAATGACAATGTTGGTGTTTGATTTTAGCTCATTAAGTGCTAAGCTTTCTCTTTTGGTGAGGTTACCATTAGATCTATATTCAAGAACCTTTTCATCCATAGATGTAATGTCCCTGCAGACCATCTCTAAAAAAAAACCTAAAGAACAATGTTCTTATATTCCTTAATTTGTGGGGTA